AAGGAAAAACAAACAAAAAATTGGAAGAAATAGCGGGAAAGACCAAGCAAAAAATGCAAGAAATGAACAAATCTCTTAAAGAAAGTAAGGAAAACCAAGAAAAAACAATCAAATAGATGAAGGAAACAATTCAAACAGTTCAAGACCTGAAAACTAACATAGAGACAATAAAGAAAACACAAACTTAAGGAAATGCTGGAAATAGAAAAACTGGGCAAATGACCAAAAACTACAAATGCAAGCATAACCAATAGAATACAAGAGATCAAAGAAAGAATCTCAGGTGCTGACGATAAACTAGAGGAAATCTTAAATCCAACAAATCCTTAACACAAAACATCCAGGAAATGTGGGACACCATGAAAAGGCCAAACCTAAGAATAATAGTCATAGAAAAAGGCAAAGAAGCCCAACTCAGAGGTGCAGAAAACATATTCAACAAAATCATTGAAGAAAACTTTCCCAGTCTGAAGAAGGACATGTCCATGAAAGTACAAGAAGCATACCAAACACCAAATAGACTGGACCAAAGAAATAATTATCAAAACACCTAACATACAGAATAAAGAAAGAATATTAAGACCAGTGAAGGGAAAAGGCCAGGGTCTCAAAAAGCGTTTGCTGTCTTGGAACTTGCTGTGTAGACCTGTCTGACCTGGAAACTTGCTATGTAGACTAGGCTGACATTGAACTCACATATCCACTCGTCTCTGTCTTCCAAGTCTGGGATTAAAGGTATGGGCCAACAAAGCCAGCCTAAATCTAAGTAACCCTCCCCAACCAATATCATCAATGTACTCTGTGGCATATAATAATCTGAAAAATGCATGTTTGTAGAAATCTCATATTTTGAAAGATAACAGAGAATGTGGGGTAGCAATGTAAAAACTTGAGCTACTATTTGTCAGATACAAGCATTACCTGGGTTGAACCTCTGCTTCTTTGCCTACTTTGCTTAGAATGACTGTACCATGGACTAAAATAAAATAAAGCCTGTTTTAAAACCTGAAGGAAAAAAAATTTTTTTCCCAGCTCATTTGAGCTGGCAAAATGACATCATTAGTAGACTGTAGACTATAGTACGTTATATACTGTTGTAATTTGGATCTTATATGTTCATTAACTGGTCCATAAATTAAGGCTTGGTCCCCAGCCCATGACACTGTTAGGAGCTGGTAGAACCAATGGGAAGAAGTTAGGTTAGGGAGGACATGGCCTTGAAGGTGTGGTGGGACATAGGCTCCTCTTCTTATCTTTTGCTTCCTGTAGTTTGTTCCACCATGAGCTTCTACCCTGATGCACTGCATGCACTACAAACTGTAAAAATTTAAGTCAAATAAAACCTTTTTTTCTTTTGAAGTTGATTATCTATGTATTTTGTTACAATAATAGAAAACTGTGTAATACATAAATATATATTTCGAACAGCAATTTAAAAGAGCTACAAAGGGGCTAGGTGTGGTGACACCAGTCTTTAATCTCAGCAATTGAGAGGTAGAGGCAAGTGGTTCTATGTGAGTTTGAGGCCAGCTTGGTCTACATAGAAAGTTCCAGGCTAGTCAGGGCCACATAGTAACCTCAATGTGGAAGTGGTTCATGGAGACGTGGATAACTGAAATTTACGGACAAGCCAGTCTAGTCAAATTGATGAGTCATGCGTTCAGCTAGAGACACTGTCTTAACAAATAAGGTGGAGGGCCCATAAAATGCCATAGTGAGTAAAGGCGTTTGCCTCTCAAGCCTAGCCACCTGAGTTTGATCCCTGGGACTTTACAAACTTGTCTTCTGCCATTCATATGCATGTTGGGATACATGCTCTTGCCCAAAATAATTATAAAGAATCAAAATTTTAAAAAATAAAACTGAAACAAGATATTCAACACTGACCTCTTATTGCCATATACACATGTACACACATGTACCTCCTGCACATGTACATACACTTATACTAAGAAGCATATACACCACATACCCCAAATACGCATGTACAAATAAACAATAACAATAAAAAAATGTTGGATGGTGGTGGTACACACCTTTAATCCTGAGAGGCAGAAGAAGGCAGATCTTTGTAAGTATGAGGCCAGCCTGGTCTATAGAGGGAGTTCCAAGATAGCCAGGGCTATAGCCAGGGCCTTGAAGAGCCAAACCAAACCAAATCAAACAAACAAACAAACAAAAAATCCAACAAAAAAAACCCCCAAAGGATGACAAAAACGCCTCATGAAAATACACTGAAGGGAAGAAAGATTAATATCGTTTAAAATAGATAGCAGAGCAAAAAAATTACCAGTGACAGAGATACAACATAATACTAAAAGACCTTAACGCCACAGAAGACATAGAAGCCACAAATTCACATATACCAAGCAACAAAGCCGAAGAATATGTGAAGCAAAACCAAAATAGAAAGGAGAATTTCAGTTATATTTGTAGACTTCAACTCCTTCTCAACAATGCACAGATCAACTTGACAGAAAATTAGCAAATGAACAGAACTCAATAGTACTGTTAATCAGGAGGAAGTGATGGATTTCAAAGAACCCCGCCAGGACCAAAGAGCACACCTTTCAAGCATCCACCATTGTATGGAACACACAGCAAGGTAACCCCCTGAACAAGACCCAACATCTCAACACAGGAAATGGTGCCAACAAGTCTTGCAGTCCCAGCACTTAGGAGGCTGAGCAGGTCACAAGTTTGAGGCCAGCTTGGCTTAAGAGGTGAGATTCTGTTCCAAAACAAAAGGCAAAGCAAATGAACAAATTACAGTAAGGTATGAAAAAAGATAGTATGTTCACTAACCACAGCAGATTCAAATTGGAAAGTATTAACAAAGAGAATTGGAAAAATTTACAAATGCTGGGAAACCAAACAACACACTTTTAAATAACTCAAGGGGCAAAGAGGAAATCTAGACCAATGGGGAGAAATATAGCTACATTCTATCTAAAAGGGAATACAACACATCAGGATTAAAGGCACACAGATAAAGCCATGAGCAAGAGGAAACACCAAGCACTAAATCCTCACAGTGGAAAAGCAGGGCTGTCTCATAGATTCCCATCTCAAGAAGCTGGAAACAAAACAAAACAAAACAAAAAATGTGGCAGTGTTGGTGGCGCACGCCTTTAGTCCCAGCAGTCAGGAGGCAGAGTCAGGTGGATCTCTGTGAGTTCAAAGCCAACCTGGTCTACAGATCAAGTTCCAGGACAGGCTCCAAAGCAATACAGAGAAACTCTGTCTGGAAAAACAAAAACAAAAACAAAAGCTGGAAAAACAGGAGGGAGGGAGACAGAAGAGATTGTAGCAGAGAGAACGAACCAGTGAAACTGAAAGTAAATTTTAACTTTTGACAATGTGGTGGCTGTTCTTGGTTGTCAACTTGACTACATCTGGGGTTAACTAAAATGCAGTTGGATGGGTACACCTGTGAGGAAGTTTTCTTAATTAAACCATTTGAAGTGGGAAAACCTACTTCTAATCTGGATCTTTTGAGGTGGGAAGATCCATCTTTAGTCTGGGCCACACTGTCTGTTTGTAGAACAAGGAAGAAGGAAACTCTCTGCCTGCTTGCTCTCACTCTGGCTAGCAAATCCATGCCTTCACTGGCATTGGAGCCCACTTCAGTATTCCAACATGTACTGAAAACCAAACCTTATGAACCGAACAACTACTGGATTGTCTGTTGGTGGACAGTCACTGTTGGACTAGCTGGACCACAGTCTGTAAGTGATTCCTTTAATATACACTCATCACATCACATCACATCACATCAATACACACACACACACACACACACACGTCTTTGTGTATGTGTATTTTATGTATGTGTATTGTATTTAGATACAATTTCATTCTATCAACTCTGTTTTTCTAGAGAACCCTGACTAATACAGACAGGGTCTCAATTTGTATTTCTGGCTGGCCTTGAACTCACAGATATCCACCTGCCTCTGCCTCCTGGGTGCTGTGATTAAAGGCGTGTGCCATCACACACAGCAGTAGGAATTTTTAAAAATGTTAGAAGAATATTACAAATTTATAAATTTGACAGCTTAATGAAATGGATCAAGTCCTCAAAGTAAACAAACTATCACAACACAACTCACTTAGCATGAAGAGATTGTTTCAAAAAGTTCAATAACTGTTAAGAATAAAAACATTTTTTTTTCTTTTTGAGATAAAGTCTTACTCTCTAAACTGCCCTTGGATTGTCCTGCCTCACCCTCACAAGTACTGGACTGAGTCTAGGTATGAACCCCCACATCTAGATAAATGAAATGTTTTCTTTCTCTTGATTTATTTGTGCTGTTTTTTCCCCTTTCCAGTATTAGGGACTGAATCTAGGACTTAGCGTATAGTAGTCAAACATCCTACTACTGAGCTACATCTCTAATGGAATGGAGTCTGTACTTTAAAAAACTTCTCATGCACAAAGTCTTGGGTTCAGTTCCTACTACCAAATAAATCAAAACAAAGTAAATGAAGAAAGAAAAAGCAAACCCTAAAACTGAATAGAAGCCAGGTGGTGGTGGTGCCTGCCTTTAATCCCAGCAGGGGTAGGTGGATCTCTGAGTTAGAAGTCAGCCTGGCTCCAGGACAGCCAGGGCTACACAGAGAAGCCCTGTCTCAAAAAAATAAATAAATAAAAATAAAAAGATTAGTAATATGCACAAGTGAAGCCACCTCAAAGAAGTAATGCGAATGCCCTCCAAGTAGAGGCAAAGCTAAAGTCTAACCCGGTGTCCTCTGGGCAGGGGCAGAATACCACTCAGCACAGTTAATGTGAAGTCTTATGGACAGACTCCTCGCTGTGTGAACTGGGGACAAAAACCATGTCTCCCTATAGGTCCTTAGTAGGTGATGGACTAGGGTCACAGTGGCTACCAGGGTGTGGTCAGCCCACAGCATAGGTGCTTGATTTCTCTGCTGACCATAGCTTGTGACTCCCAGAAGTCACAATGTGGCCCTGGCCAGTCCTATACAATGTATATCACCTCCTCCTTCTTCTGGTCCGCCTTCTGCTTGTTTTCCCGCATGAGGTTCTGCCGGGCCAAGATGGCCTCCTCGTGGCTCAGCTTCCCTTGCAGCCGCCGGCACTCCTCTGCAGCTAGCTGCTCCTCCAGGTCCTTTGCCTGCATCTTCTTCTGCCACTCGAGGAACTCAGAGAAGTCCCCAGCCCCGTCCACAAGCTTATCCACTCTAGGGGAAGGGAGACAGCTAGGTTCCTCATGTGATCAGGACCACTAGTAGGTCACAGGTCCTCTTAGGCATGGACAGCCTCAAGGAACGGTCACCCACACCACTCGCCCACACCACTGGCCCACACCACTCGCCCACACCACTACCTACCGCCTTACCTCTGCCTGTCTCTCCTGTCATGTTCTCATTCTCCCTTCATCCACTTCTCTGTCCACTCTTGCCCTGTCCCTGTCCGTTTACCTACCAACCCTGTCCACACTTGCTTGTTCTTGTACTCATCTCTCCACTTGGGGTTCCCACCATAGCCCATTGGTGGAATCCAAGGAGCAAATGACCCTCAGGGTGGTCAAGGGAAGGGGACCAGGTATTTGCTAAGTCTTTCCCTGCCCTGGTCTGTCTCCTCACTCACAGAGTTGGGTTTAATTCTGAAATATGGCCATGAGCCTGACTCAGCCTGCCTTTCCTCCATCACAGCAGGACCGGAGATTGGTCATGACACTGAAATGCATTTGGTTTACATCCCCATTTCTTTGTTTGGTCTGTTTGTTTGTTTGCTTGTTTGGTTGGTTGGGTTTTTTTTTTTTTTTTTTTTTTTTGTTTTGTTTTTGTTTTTCTGAAACAGGGTTTCTCTGTAGCTTGGAGGCTGTCCTAGAACTTGCTCAGTAGATCAGGCTGGCCTCAAGCTCACAGAAATCCACCTGCCTTTCCTACCAAGTATGGGATTGAAAGGTGTGTGCCACCACCGCCCAGCTTTCATCCCCATTTCTTGCCATACGACTGAACACCTAAAATACTTGAGCATTTCCAAGTGTTCTGTATGCAAATGAAGTAAGTGCCCACTAGTGTTCTCTGGGCACCTTCAGCTGGTCACCAAAAAGGCCGAGGCAGGAGCAGAGTTTGGGAATTTCATCTTCATCCTCAGCATTGTCCAGGAAACTGGGCAGAAGGGGAGGTGATCACACACATCAGCGACTTCATTCATCACACACATATCAAATCCCCATACAACATACAGGTCAGGGTTCGCATCAGTATCTGGAGAACTAAGCAGGTAGAGGATCCTGGAAGCTGGTCATCTGAACGGGCTGTGAGGCTCTGAGACTGGTGTCAGGGTCTGCCCTGCACAGTCCTTCTCTGCGCCCTTACTCGTGCCTTTTCCAATGGATCTCTAAAAGCCTGTCCCCCAAGTTCTTTGAGCTTCTGTAGCCGATTGATCAAATGGGGGAGGGATACAAAAGAGATGGTTTAACCTTTTTTGGTGTGGAGAGTTCAAGACAGGGTTTCTCTGTGGCTTTGGAGCATGTCCTGGAACTCGCTCTTGTAGATCAGGCTGGTTTAGAACTCACAGAGATCCACCTGCCTCTGCCTCCTGAGTGCTGGGATTAAAGGTGTGCACCACCACTGCCCAGCGATGGTTTAAATTTTTAAACTTTTTTTTTGGTTTGGGTTTATTTTCAAGACAGGTTTTCTCTGTGTAGCTTGTCGGTTCTGGAACTCGCTCTGTAGACTAGGTTGGCCTTGAACTCACAGGAATCCACCTGCTTCTGCCTCTGCTGTTCTATTGGGAGAATTGAAGTTCACATTCCAGCACTCACAAAGGGCAGCTCACACTTACTAATTCTAGCTCCAAGGTATCCGACACCCTCTTCTGGCCTCTTTGAGCCACACACATGCCCACTCACAGAGATGCATGCATAAGTGATAAAAAATAAAAACAAGTCTTATAAAATCAAGAAAAGGCTTGTGAAACCCTAAATTATATATAGAAGCACAGTTAAAACGACCTGGGGACCTAAGGGTGTTGATTTGTGGAAGGGTGCTTGCCTGGCATGCACAAGGCCCTGGATTTGATCCCCGGCATGGCAAGAACAAAACAAACAAACAAACAAAAACTATTTGATGATTACAATGGGCATCTTGGGGTAAGCAGTCGTGAGGACAAAGCTTTTGCCTTGTAGCATTTCCCATCACCTCCAAGTAGATGGGTACCACAGCAGAATGGAATTAGAAGATACCCAGCTGTTGTCCATTGTTGCAGCATGCTTGAGGGCTGGTGAAGAGAAATCTTATGTCCTGGTTTCAGAAGGGTGTTGTTGAGTAAAAACATGGAATAAACAGCAGGACTGGGCTGTGTGTTTACTTACTCTGAAAAATGTGGAGTTCCTTGTTCTGTATAAATGAGAATGGACCTCGGAAGAGCCACTTGCTAGTCAGGAATTGCTGCCTGTGGTCTATACAAGCACAGTGGCTGATTCAAAGGTTCCAGAGAAAGGCTTGGGTGTTAGTGGCAAGGCATGGCCCAGGTAGAATGAACATTGATATGTTACTGAACAGGGAAACAAAGGAAATTCTTTTTTTTTTTTTTTTTTTTAAAGACAGAGTTTCTCTGTATTGTTTTTGAATCTGTCCTGGAACCAGCTCTGTAGACAAACTCACAGAGATCCACCTGCCTCTGCCTCCCGAGTGGTGGGACTAAAGGCATGCATCACCAATGCCTGGACAGAACAAAAATTCAATATTGTTTTACTATCATGAGAGGCTAAGAGCAAGAAATGGTACCGACCTACTGTCAGTATTCAGGCACTTGTACTGCCTTTGGAGTTCTGACAAGATACGCCCTCAGCGGCTGCCACTAAGAGCTCCACCTGTGCACACTCACTATGTTCCCTTTAAAAGGGCCCTGCCACCTCCATCCCTCTCTCTCCTTCTCTCTATTTGTTCCTTTCTCCTCTCTTTCCCTCCCTCTCTCCCCTCCCCCTCTTCTCCTTTCTTCCTCTCTCCCACCCTCCCTTCCTCCATCCCGCCTCCCTTCCTCCATCCCACCTCCCTTCCTCCATCCCGCCTCCCTTCCTCCATCCCGCCTCCCTTCCTCCATCCCGCCTCCCTTCCTCCATCCCGCCTCCCTTCCTCCATCCCGCCTCCCTTCCTCAGGCCTCTCTTTCCTCTCTTCTGCTGTTCCTATACCTAGAGGCTGGTCCCCCCTCCCCTTTCCCTTAATAAAAACCAACCAACCAACCAAACAAACAAACAAAAAACACTCCTCTTGAACTCTGTGGCATGGCATCTCTCTCTCTCTTGAGCTGCTTTTTAAAATTACAACACCTACCCCAATTACATCTCACCCTGGAGGAGAGAGGCGATGTGAGCTGAGCCACTCCTACTTTTGGAACTGACCTAATAGAAGCCCGAAAGTCCTGAGAGACTTTTATGACAGAACTGGAGAGCAGTAATAGGACAACATCTTCTGGGTCACCTATAACTTCCCTGTGAGGGATGCATGTTCAAAGATGGGGTGTGGGCTGTGAGGCTGTCAGGTCTGGACTTGGTCTTTGGCTGTCTGTTTGACTCTAGCTGGCCATCCCTAGGTAGCAAGTCACCAGAAAGTCCAAGACAAAGCTGATATTGAGTGCTGGGGTGGGGGTGGAGGGCAGAGCGATGGCAATTAAGTGGATTCCTCTTGGTCAGCGTTGTAGTCTACCACACCTCTGAGGTCTGGACAAAATGCAAATGCCAAGATTCGTGTGAGCTTTTGCACAGTTCAGCAGGTAGTCTTAGTGGGTGTGCACCTTGGTAGAGTTGGGAGGCGCCCACTGGCTATGGGCTGTATGCGTCTCTCCATCAGTAGCGGTCATAATATCTTTTACAAAAAAGTAGTAGATGTACGTAAGTGTGCCCCTGAGTTTCTGTGAGCTGTCCCCAGGAGGGGACCTGAAACCTGATTTATATTCCATAGGCACAGGGAAAGCAGCTAGGAACTGCAGTTAGCATCTCCAGGGAGAGGTCTTAGGGATGCAGCCCCAAACCCAAGCAGGTTGGTGCTCTCTTCAGAGGGTGCTGAGCTTCTGTCCACTGTAAGCTTTGCTGACTTGTGGAGAGAAATGTGTTGCTGAGAACTCAGGAGAAACTGAAATGGGTTTTGCTTGCTTATTTTGAGACAACATCTTTCTGTAGCCCAAGCTGGCCTAGAACTCTCCCTCCTCCCACATCATCCTCCCGAGAGCGAAGATTAGTATATGGACCATTGTGCCCTGCTCTGGCCTTGCTTGCATTTTCCTCAATGAATTCAGAGCCTCCCCCTCCTCTCTGCTTAGCTGCCTGATGCAGGCTCTTACTCTAGGCTTTTTTCTTGAGGGTAAACACCCTTGAGGGGGGAAGGGACAGAATTAGATAATGCCATCTGCCTCTCACCTCTGCAGCTCCTTCTCCACCTGCCGCTGGTATAAGGCGCCTTCTCGAAGGATGGTGGCTGTGTTCAGCTTGACCGGGAAGTTGTTAGGCTGTGGCGGAGGGGAGGAATGGATGGTCGGTATCTCAGATGCAAGTGTCCTGCTATCAGCTATCAAGCCTTCCGATTCATCCCCCACCTAGGTGCTTCTCTCTGCTTCCAGAGTGAAGCTCTCTGTGGGGCCCTTGGCCCCCCCTGCTCCCACTCTCTGGCCTTACTTAGGTCAGGCAGGTGGGAAGTCCCGAGAAGAGGCCTGATGGGCCGGGAGGCCCTCACCTTGTAGAAAGTCAGATTTGGAGTCCTTCGTATTCGGGGTGGAGTCTGAAGCCGCTGATGCTTCTTGAAGTCCTGTAAACCAGGCAGAGGTAGTCTGGAGAGTCACCTGCTCCCCTCTGTCCTCTCTCTAGCCACCCATCCACATGTGCCTACCCTGGCCCCTCAGGATGGCATTCTGTCTTCCACTGCACTCTAAGCCGTGCTGGGGTGCTCGACCTCCTGGGCAGCAACAAGGAAGGGAAAGAGTCTGCTAGGCCCAGGGACAGTAGTCGACAAATAAGATTGCTGGCTTCCTCAGCATCGGTGTCCTTTCCCTCTGCTCTCCCCCCCAGGGCTGTTCCCATTCCCTTTTCTTGGGCTGAATGCCTGCCCCATGCCTCTTGCTGTAGAGGAAAAGTTGCAGAGGCCTTAAGCGCCATATGGAGGAATAGTCCATAAAGGCAGCCATCACACTCCCAAGCGTGCTGCTGCCTGGAATACATAGCCCTGGGACCACTCAGCTCTTAGAACCCGTGTAGATCAGCCACCCCACTCCTCAGTGAGTTTCTCTGGAAGACAGAACTCCTTTGTATTGGTCCCTAGTCACTCTAGTTTATTTATTTATTGGCTTTTTGAGACAGTGTTTCTCTGTGTAACAGCTCTAGCTGTCCTGGAACTCACAGAGATCTGCCTGCCTGTGCCTCCTGAGTGCTGGGATTGAAGGTGGGCATCACCACACCCAGTCTTTCTATGTGGTTTTTGGGAGATGGATCAGTGGGTGAAGGCACTTGCTGCTGAGCCTGATGTCCTGACTTCAATCCCTGGGGCCCATATGGTGGAAGAGAAGCAATTTCTGCAAGCTGTCCTTTGACCTCCACAAGTACGCTGTAGCACATGAGGCTGCAAGGCAAGGATGACCTGAAATACTGATCCCTCTGTCGTCCTGGGGTTACAGGCTTGTGGCACCAAACCTGGTTTATGTGGTGCTGGGGATGAAACCCACGGCTTCATGAATACCAGGCGACACTCTACCAACTGAGCTACATCCTCAGCACCAGAAGGAAGAATTTTATGGCATAAAGAACAATGCTACCATGAAGACTGGGCTTGCCTCAGAGGCTGGCCATTATTACCTCTGCTTGTGGATCCCTGCGCAGTCGGGGCATAGCGCACTGTAGCTCTTCCATGTTCGCTCTCAGCAACAGCTCCTGCCATGATGTCATGCTGTTCTTCCCACACCAGCCACAGCCCAGGGCCCTCAGGCCAGTGTGTGTGTGTGTGTGGGGGGTGTAAGAATGCATGTGGTATGCCTAAGGCCCCCAACCTCCTCCCCTCCCTCTGCTCTTAACAGCCCAATGGGGTCTCTAGGGAGACAAGGGTCGCACATGGCCACCTCAGCCTTCCGTCGGTTGTATCTTTTGATCATTTGCAGAAGCTGCTGCTCCCTGGGCTCCTGGTAGGTGCTCTGAGGGACCTGGTGGAACGGCAGAAGGGCAAGTCTGTGGTTAGTGACCCACAGTGTAGAAGGTCAGACCAGCAGCACGCATGGGGTTTAGAGTCAAATATGCGATGGGGTAGACACGGGGAGCTAGCTCTTAGGCAGGAGGGGTTGGTAGAGGGGTCAGAGAGTGTTATACATTATTATTTTTTTTTTAAAGTAAGCTGCCTGAAAGGGACCTTAAGATAAGACTTTGGTCTGGCTTCTGAGTTCAGTCATAGGAGACTCTCAATGTCCCTAGAGGAGCTGTGTCCATCAGGGGACAGGCGAGGGGCCAGTCTGGTCACCCTTGAGCCTAGATTCCTGAACCTCTCTCTAAACCTCTGCATGTTTCAAAGGCATGTCCAACCCAGCTCCTCTAAACCTAAAGCTCTCATATCCCTCAGCTGCCCTGCCCCTGGACCCTTACTGAGGACCCTGTGCTCTTTTTCACCAAGGCCTTTTGGCTGTGTCTCTCACACCCAGAGCCATCTCTAGTCTTGTCTGCCTACTTCAAAAAGTTCTACCGAGTGAGTGCCTGTTTTTTTCTTGACTTCTTTCTTCCTGACAACTATGTTGGTTGCAGCCCACCTGACTGTGTCACTTCACATACTCTGTTTGTCCTGCTTGCCCGAGGGACAGTTCTGCTTGTCCCCTCACCATGACATTGTAGACCTTTCCTGAGCTTGCTTCTGTCCAAATCCTCTATGCTCTGAGTCCATACTGGAAAGATTATACCCCCACCCCTGCATTGCATTGCAACCTCCTATCTGCTGTCTAACCTGGGGATGGAAGGACACTGCCCAGGGCTAGTGTGTATTTTGTCTCACTGTTTATGACTCAGGCACCCATAGCTCATCAGCCCAGTAGGTGAAAGGGAGTCCTGGCCACGGGTCAGAGCATGGAGGGTGTTAGACACTGGCTTTGTGAATACAGAAGTGAGCTCAGGCAAGGCCCACTATGCCACAGTGAGGGGACAAGCAGAACTGTCCCTCAGTCAAACAGAACAAACAGGAAGAGAGGTGACCAGCTGGATTAATTCTTGAGGAGTTGGTGCCAGAAACAAAAGAGATCCTACAGATGGGGAAACTGTGGAGTTGCTTAGCAACAAAGTCCCAGTAACCTATCTACCCATCCACCCATATGATTATTCATCATCTATCCACTACCCATATAGCCATTTATTCATCTATCCCCCTATCTATCTACTCATCCATCTATTCATCCTACAAGAATGTACTGAATGTCTTCTCCACGCCACGACTTCACCACCTGTGTTGGAAATACAGCATGAATAAAATGGATGGAGAGCCAGGCAATGAGTAGATCCACAAGTTGTAAACAATACTCCACACTATGGAGAAAAGATGGGTCAAGAAAAAGAAAACTGGGTGGGGGACCCAGGGGAGCCCAGGCCTCATGAAAAGCTTCTGGAATGAGAGATTTTTCAGTGATACCTGAAAAATGGATGAAGTAGGGTGAGATGTGGGTCCACCAGGGACCCCCCCCCAATCTCACCCCTCTACAGTCCTTCATTCTATAAGGACCAGACTGACCTAGGAGGCTGAATCCATTGCCAATGCTTGTGGGAATCCATAGTCTAGGCAGGACTTAGCACTCAGAAAGCCAATGACTGGTTCAAGCAGGCATGAGGCCTGGACCAAGCAGACTTTTCTGAGTAGTTTCTGTCCCTATATATTCTTTCCTGTCCTAGACAATGTACAATGTAGACACAGTAGACACAAGACATGGATTTACATTTTTTTTTTAAAGAAACTAAAATGACATTAAGTTAGTCTAAAGATGAAATTCACTTATAGAGGAGAGGCAGTTACAGAGAAACAGCTGGAACCCTGATCAAACTATATCTTAAGGCTATTTCTACTTTAATAGTAGTGGTCTGTTGTTTAAGCCAATTGAGCTGCAGTTTTCTGTTACTTGCAGTTCAAAGCATACTCACTGATAAAATCAGAGATAGAGACGCTCTCAGCAGAGGAGACAGATATGAGCCTCCCTAAGTAGGGGCCAGGCATTTCTGGGGCTCCGGCAGACACTCCTGATAAAGCCTGAAAAGCATCTACATTGTGACTTTCAAGTGTGCTATCTAATGGGGATGGTGGGTGCCATGGCTAATAGTGAACTCCAAGCATAATCCAGACAGGTCTAAACCCATGGCCAGACAGTATTACTTAGCACCTCCTAATTGGTTTCAGAATGTGGTAGGCTCTGGGTCGGCCAACTTTGCTCTCTATAGAGGTGTGTAGGGGTATGTGGGGTGTGGGGGTGCATTGTGGGTCACTGAATGCTCCTGGGTGGTCCAGTACACCCTTGACCCTGGTGGATCCCAGCTACCCAATGACCCCCACAGTCTCTTCCCCCAGCCTGAACATCCTGGTGGTGTAGACATGTGCCCACCACAAATGTCCAACTCACAGGTTTTGCCTTGGCCATGGTGGGTACGGGCTCAGGCATTGTAATGGCACGGGGCCTTGGAACAGTCAGATTGAATTCCTTGGGCTCTGTGACCTTGGCCTTGGTCTTCAAGAGAGGCATTTGATCTGCTGGCACTCCCTCCAGTTCCTTGATCAGCTCCTGCACCTCTGGCTGCCATCTTGAAGGCAAAAGTGTAGAAGGCCCTAGAGTCACATCCTAAACAGGTCACCAAGAAGCTGGCCCCTGGGATCCAAAGGACCCCAAGTGCTTGATTGTCCTTTAGGGTGATGTGACTTTTCTTTATCAACTTGAGGGTACAGTTCAGCCACACTTTCAGTCCACGTGTTAAGTTTCCCTTTGGACAGATGAGGAAACTGAGGCCCACGGTACAGGGGAGCTGGGAGATTGAAACACCCCCACCGCAGGGATGTGGAGCTCTCTAAAGATGAGCAGGAACTGGGCTGTGAAGCTAATATGGGCACTCATGGAAGCTAATGTGGTACTCATGGAGGTAGCTGGGAATAGGGGAAAGAAGCTGACAATGGGAAAGGAATGTTCTGGAGTAACACTGTTGGGAACAGGTGGAGGGAACTGTGGGTGTTGAGTGGGGTGAGGGCCACATCCCCCTAAGGGACATCCAACTGTCCTTGCACTCAGGCTCAAGGTCCTGATAGGTGGCCCAGAGGTCTAGGAATCTCCCTTTCTCCATACCATGAGTCGACCTAGGCCCTCAATATCATCCCGTTCAGTGTTTCCTCCCGTGGGACTCATCAAGGGTAGATGCATGGCTTGAAATAGTTTCTGCCTCATCCCTAGAATCAGGACTACTCAGAGGGAGTGAGGCTACCACGAGGGCTAACAGCAAAGGGCTCTCATAAGGCTGTGCCTGGACTCAGCCTCCAGGGGAAGTAGCTGTAGGCTTGGGCTGAGGCTGGTCCCAGGGAGGGCTGTGTTAAGTGTGGAAATAGCACACAGCTCACTGCCAACAGTGGGGAGCAGTCGGGACAGGAGAATTCTCCTTGGCAAAGGAGTAGCTCTGAGAAACCACACTGTGGAGCCAAAGCCTCCTACACACAGCTAGTCCATAAGCTGTCTACTTGGGTCCAGCCTATCTGCCTGTCTCCAGGAAGACACGATGATCCCCCAGTCCTCTCAGAGGAGAGGAATGTAGGAGATCCATACATATCTTGCTATCCTTGCCTCAGGCTGTGATAGGTAGATTCATTGCATTTCTAACCTCTCCCCCTAACCTGGAACATGACCTGGCTGGCCTCTCCTAGAGTTTCTATGAGCAGGATGGGAACGAGAAGGCCACCCACCCTCTGAGGCACCCAGGGTGGGCACAAGACAATTTTCAGACACCCAATGCCCCGCCACAGCTGACCCACCTCATTAGAGGGTCAATCCAATTCTCCTTCACGTGGGCCATTTCATAGATGAGGCTCCACTCGTCCTTGATCCATGAGCACAGGTTCAAGGGGTTAAAGAAAAACCTGAGGAACTGAGGTAGAAAAGCCCCTAAGCAGCTCAGCTTCGACTCAGACACTACCCTCTGCTGCCCCAGTACCCCTCAATGGGGGCCAGAACAGTCTGCAATGTTCACTAGTCACACCAGCTGCAGACGGGCATTCATCCAGCTTCTAGGCCTGGAAGGCCTGGTGATCCGCTCCTGGGTAAGGAGCTACAGGGACACATGGAGAATTGCCTGCTACCCACCCTGCCCCATTCCAGGGGCACCTGTAATTATGGGAGTGTAATAATGCCATCTTCTGTGACCTGTAACAGAAGTGGGGAGGGCTGGGAAAGCTCTCAGACCTGGGAAGGTGGGTCTCAACCATTCACAGTGGGTGTCTGATCTCAGCCCTGGGACCAAGGCAGTCTCCAAAACCAATCGAAAGGGACAGCCAGTGGTCCTGGGGCTACATTTACACCCTTATCCTGTTTGCAGGATCCAAGGACCACATGTCAGAGCCCAGAGATCTCTGTAGTGATGCAAGACTCACAACTGCTACTTGGAAACAGGAAATGTATTTGGGAGGTGACCTTGGAAGTGCATGGCCAGCTGGGAGGACAATGGTGAACAAGACTATGACCATTCATGGCCTCTGGTCACTTTGCTTTCCAGTGTGACTACTGTCCTCATCAGCGTCAACCTCACAAGCCTCCAGCTTCCTTGTGGCCTGCAACCCTGTTCCAAACAGAAGCTACCAAGGCCTCCTTCTAGAGCAGCATTTCTCAACCTGTGGGTCATGACCCCTTTGGGGGTGGCGTTGAATAATCTATTCACAGGGGTCTCTTAAGACCATTCTGCAATCATATATTTATATTACAATTCATAACAGAAGCAAAATTACAGTTGTGAAGTAGCAATGAAAACAAAGGTAGGTTGAGAACCAAGGTTCCAGAGCTTTCCATGGTTCCCCACTTGGCAGCCTGCCTGCCCACTTTCCTCACTTACCTCTGCGGCCTGCCACCTTCTCAGCCCTCACCCACGGCCAGTGTCTTACCCCATCACCCACTTCCTAATCCCTCAGCTTTCACTCAGCACCTGAAGGGGAAGCTGGCCTCTGTGGCTGGCCTCTGGGGTCCTCCTCCTTTGTGCTGGTCCAATCCTGTTTGGGAACATCCTATCACGTTTTTTTTCCTATTTCCCCACTCCTCCCCATACCCTCAAATCAGCATCTCCGCAGGGTCAAGGCCCCCATTCTCACTGGGATGTGGTGGGACAGAGCTATTAGAGACCCTGTTAGAGTGGGAGTGGGGATCTCTGTGATTTGGGGGTAGGCCTAGAGAGATGGCTCACTGGTTAAGAGCATGTACCGCTCTTACAAAAGACCAGAGTTCACGTCCCAGCACCCAAATCCAGTGGCTTACAACTGCCTATAACTTCAACTCCAGGGCACCAATGGTCTCTTCTTGGACTCTGAGGGCACTGACATGTGCTTATATCTTCACAGTGACAGTACATACGATTAAAAATAATAAAAGTGGATCACTGATGTGAGGGGAGGGTGTTTAGAGTGCATGTGAGAGGGCAGAGAGGGTAAAAGGGAGGGAAGGAGGGAGGGAGGCCTGGGGGGAGGGAGGGAAGGAGAGGGAACTGGGATCGACATGTAAAACAATAAATTAAATTAAAAAAATGCTTTGACTCCAAAATTTAAGTTGAAGGACAAGTTACTGGGGAAAAGGATTTCTATTTTTGTTTCCACAGAAAATGAAAAGATGTGGATTCCTTCCAGACTAATGAGGTTTGATCACGCCAGACCGCCTGAAACAGTACAAGCTAATCCTACATTCAAAACAGCTGGACAAAACAGCCCTGCAGACTACAGCCAGGATATCTGAATCTTCTTCGAATCCCCCCCAAGACAGCGCCCCTTACCAGCAGGAAGTAGCTTGGAAAGAACGACGCCCAAATTCCCAAATACTGTGTATAAATGTTTGTCTTCATTTAATTGGACTTTGTTATATAAAATTAAATAAAATAAAAAAATAAAAGAGCATTTCAGAAAACCCACTTTTTCCAAAATGTATTAAATGAAACAGAATGAATAAAAATCAGAAAATTTTTAAAAAAAAAAGTGGATCACTGGCTGGCATTGTGGCTTATGTCTTCAACGCCAATAACTGGAAGGCAGAGATAGGAGGATCTCTGTGAATTTGAGGCCGGCCAGCCTGGGCTATATAATTGAGTTCCAGATAGCCTACATAGTGAGATTCTATATAAAAAAGAGAAAGTAGACTTGGACCGTCTGGAAGGTTCATAGTATATAAGTGTGGGGTCTCTGGAGCTTCTAGCTCTTCCACCTGCAGTCCCGGGGCAATGGGCAGCGTCCCCTGTGGAGGGCATAGACTTAAACTGCCTTCCAGGCAACCCGGGCCTGGGATGCTTTATAGCCACGCCACTCCTGATTGAAGCAGCAGCAGCTAAGACAGCAACAGCAGCTGTTGCCAACAGCTGGCTCTCCATCTTTACCTGGCAGGAACAAGAATCACCCAGTGGGGTGTGGAGTATGGAGTAGACAAGGGAGACCTTGTGCAGGCCATCGTTTGATCTCTGCAGCTTTGGTTCCTGGACTTTTCTTTTTCTTTGGACACCACACAGGCTACGGGAATAGTCTAAGTTGAGCTTTAGCCTCAGCCTTTCTCTCCCCGCCCCCCCCCCCACCTCTTTAACCCTGAGACAGAGACTCAGGCTAGCTCCCCTATCTCAGCCTTCCAAGCTGTTGGGATTACAGGCCATAAGGCCTGCCTCACGAGTGTGTTTTGTGGGCTGTTGTCAGGAGTCTACAGAGCTCCCTAGGCTGGTCAGTGTGATCAGGGTCCTGGCCTGGGGTTACTGTTTATATCCTGAGAGCAGTATGTGATCTGCACCCCAAGCATCTGTTGAGTCAGCACTGCGGGACCCAGTGTAGGAGGCAAGGTGGATGTTTGCTCAATAGTCATTATGGATTCCAGCACAAGGCAGCAAAGCCTGAGCCAAGTACAGGTCATGCTGAGTGTAGAATTGGCCAGGGCAGTCCCAAAGCATCACTCAGAAGATGCCATCGATCTTTACTTCTTTGTCATAAAAATGAAGCCCTTGCTTAAGATAATTCTGATTGCTTATCCATCAGGGGGTATGTGCAGGTTGGAAAGCCATTCAGTCAGACTGCCCTGAGACAGAGAACATTGTCCTATACGGATGGTATTACCCAGAGAGAAGTCGGGCCTGCCGGTTTCTCTAGCTAGAGGATGAAACGTAGGGTTGGTCACATGCATATGTGGCTCCGGTCAGCCATGGTCCTGCAGTGGGGGTGGGCGCAGGGGCTCACCTTGCACGTCTTACCCACAGGCTGGGACTTGATGATGCTGCAGAAGAGCTGGAAGCCGAGCTCATCCAGCTGGAACATGGCCAGGTAGCAGATAACTGAAGAGAGAGCATGGTATGAGGCATGCCCCGCCGCCCTGCAAAAGGGCTCTGTGTGTGACCTTGGGAGGATTCTGCAGCTGCAGAGAGTCTTGCAGACACCTTATTCTGCCAGGGCACACAAGGACAGGTCCATACGGCAAGTACCACTCCATGCTCAGTGACTGCAGAACCAGCCACTTGGGGCTTTTAGCTTCCACACACGTTACACTGCATTTGGTCAATTCTCAGAAATCCCAGGATTTCTCTGGGCAAAAGCTATATCATATTCAGTTTTGTTGATTTCGTGAGCTGAGTCACTCTGAGCCTTTGGGTACAGTGTCTTCTCTGATGAGGCTGCTGGTTCTGCCCCTGAGCAGACAGTGAGGGTCAGCCTGGCTTTGTACCTGGCACCAGCCACCTGTTTCAGCCTACCAGTGTGCTGGGCACCAGCCACTGTCCACAACAGTCACCATGCTCTCTGAATGCAGACAGTGGTCAGAGGTGGCTCTCATATTTAATCCCTCCCTGGATGATCCAGGCTAGCACATGCCTATTCTTTCCACAGATGTCAGGGTTAGGGCCACAAACAGACTACAAGAGGTATGTCATTTAGCCCAACCTGCCCTCAGGGGAATTCTCTTCCTGATAAGTGGCAAGGGATTCAGAGGCTACAGGTGTGCCATTTGGCCCAATCTTCCCTCAGGGACATTCTCTTCTAGATAATTGGCTGGGAGTCCAGAGGCTGCATGCCTCCTCTCAAGACCCAAGTTTCAGTTTCTCCATGAGAAAATATAGAAATGATAAAATATATCTAGCCTGGGATGCATACTTATGGGCACCTGAGATTCAAGCGAGAGAAAGAGCTAAGGCAGAAGCATGAGTAGTTGCCTTCTGTGTCCTAAAGTTTGCATGCTGGTTGGCCTCTTTCAAGTCAACCTGTCAAGTGTCTGTGGCTAGCTTCCTCTCTCGTCCCCATCTGGAGTGGGCAGGCCTAGGCCTCAAGGATATGTGGATAGTGGAAATACCCACCCTCAAAGAGGCTGTAGTCAGCCCAAAGGCAGAGCCGACCATCCCGTACATAGAAGGCATCCACCACGATAGTCAGTAACTTCCGGTATTCAAGGCAGCCAGACAGAACCTCCAAGACAAAGGCAAGCTTCTGGGGACTCAGAACCTGTAAAAGAATGCCAGGAGAGAGCTCTCAAGGGCTAGGAGATCAAGGACAGAGGTAAGGGATAGACACTGCCCCATGGCCGAACAGAGGCCAGTTAGTTCAGTTCTCCTAGAGCAGTGGGCAGTGACCACAGTGATCGGAAAGGCAGGACCCCCAGGGTGAATGAGGACAAGGTGGGTGCAGAGACAGAAACACTAAGGACAAGCATTGTGCAGATATTCTCCTATATGAAGATAGGTAAATCCACAGAGACAGAAAGAAGAATGGCAAGCAAGTGACAGAGGAGTATGGGGAGCCAGGCAGCTGGGGATAGAGGTCCAAGTCGGGCAGATTAGAGGGTTATGGAGATGATGGAAGTGATGGCCACACAGTCCTGTGAGTGTGCTTTGTGTCACCTGAAAAGAGTAAAATGCTCAAAATTTATGTCATGTGCATCTTACCACAATGACTTAAAAACAAATTCGTATAAAGAGTTTTAAATGAAGAATAAAACATTATCCAAAAGAATGCTGTATGATCAAGGGAGGTCTATGAGAGCTTGTCCAGAATAAAAAGCAGGATGGGAGCTCCTAGGTAGCAGTAAGAATTCTATTCCCTTGGCCAGGCATTGTGGTACATGCCTTTAATCCAGGCACTTGGGGCAGAGGCAGGCTGAGTTCAAGGCCATTTGGTTTACCTGAGTTCCAGGTCAGCCAGGGATAGTTAGGGTGGCCCTGTTCTGGTTGGGGTGGGGGGGGGATGAGAGAAAGAGATACATTGAGATAGATAGAGATATAGACTCTGAATTTCTGAAATTACTGTGATTAAAAAAAAAAATCTGACAAAAACAGTTTACAGTGGGCCGGAGAGATGGCTCAGCAATTAAGAGCACTGACTACTCTTCCACTAAACCTGTGTTCATGTCCCAGCACCAACACACTACTCACAAGTGTCTGTAACTTCAAGATCTGATGCTTTCACACAGACATACCTGCAGGCAAAACACTAATGCACATAAAATAAAAGTAAATGAACTAAAAAAAAAAAAAAAAACCCAAACAAACCAGTTTACAGGTAGAAAAGATGAATTTGGCTCATGGTTTCAGAGGCTGTAGTCCATAGGTAGCTGGCTCCATTGCTTTCTGGCCCATAGTAAAGTAGAGCGCTACGGCAGATCAGAAGGGAGCTGTTCATCATCTCATGGCGGCAGGAAGCAGAGGAGGCTGCTCTGAATAATGCTATCAAGTTATGATTTCATCAACGAAGCTGACCATTGCCAAAGTCAGAGCCCACGGGACCCAGCCACTTCCCAATTGCCCTGCTCTGAGAGTGAGACCTTCAACACAGGAGCCTTTGGGGGACAATTCAGATCCAAGTGATAGTATGACCCGTGTGTGACATATATTAATTATTTAAAAAGGTAATTAATGTTTTCAAATTAAGGTTTGAAAAGTAATTAAGTTTTGATGGGGAAGGAAAATGGTGTCTGCTGGTGCCAGCACAGTACTGAGAAACTTTGTGGGACATTTGCTGCTGAGCCTTTCCGGAAAGCAATTTTCTCGAAAATCAGTTTCGAGAGTTTTATTTCCATGACCCTTTAACAGAGTAAGTGTGCTTCTGGGAACTTAAGGAATTCTTCCAGAACACAGGGAATGTTCATGTGCACATGTCAGGGGGAGAGGTCTGGGTAGCAGGGAAAACAGAAACAAGGGTCCAAAAGCAGGGACTAACAGGCCAAGTATCATTGCTCCATCCGGCAGACCAGTATGATACAGCCATTAAAATGATGCCAGGCTAAGATTTACAAGGGGATGGCAAAATGGCGCGGCCCACAGTGAAACAATAGGTATCACTTTGGTGGCCGTCGAATGCATCTCCTCTCCTCTCTGCTTTTCTGCTCCCGCACTTCTCTAATAACTTCAAAACCAGTAACTGTTTCCCCCAGCTGGCCACCCCTTTTAACAGGCCCTGCCTCTGTCAAAGAACCTTCCAGAAAGACTGCACACACTTTTAATCCCAGCACTTGGGAGGCACAGGCAGATGGATTTCTGAGTTCAAGGTTAGCCTGGTCTACAGAATGAGTTCCAGGCTAGCTAGAGAAGCTCCTGTCTCGAAAACAACAACAAAAACAAAAGAAAAAAAAAAAATCCGAGTTTCCATGGCATCCATTTAAGAAAAAGTATCTCTTTTACCATTTTATTTTGTAGTACTAGAGATGAACATTTAGGAATGTACTCTACCTGAGCCACACACACCTCTACCAATAAACACTGGTATCTCAATGTTTTGAGTTTTTAAATTACTTATTTTGTGTGTGTGCATGCATATGTCCACACCCGTGTGTAGGCATACATGGCGTGACATGCATGTGGAGGTCAGAAGACACCCAGGAATTGGATCTCCCACCATGTGTGTCCTGGGTATCAAACTCAAGTCATCAGGCTTGACACTATAAGCACCTTCACCCACCAGGCCATCTTGCCAGCCCTATTATGAGTTTGGTTTTCAAGACGGGGTTTCTCTGTGTAGCTTTGGAGCCTGTCCTGAAACTCTCTCTGTAGACCAGGCTGGACTTGAACTCACAGAGATCTGCCTGCCTCTGCCTCCCGAGTGCTGTGATTAAAGGTGTGTACCACCACCACCACCACCTGGCCTCAATTGTTTTTATGTTAAAAAAAATAACAGGGTAATAGAAGAGCCTGCAAGGCCCAGGACACATCCCAAGTCATGACTTGGTTTCCCTGTGAGTGTCAATTCTGGTCCTGTCCTTGCTTCCCAGAACTAGGAAAAGCCTGAAAAGGCATTCCTGAGACAGCTTGTTAATAAAACACTAGCAGGAAAAACAGAATATGCAAAGGGACATGCTTTGCCTCATCTTCCCTGATACCTACAGCCACTAAGATGTGCCTGTTCTACAGACGGTGGCAGCAACGCCAGGCGAGGTTCCCTGCAGGGATAGCTCTGGAGGGACTGGGCTACCCAATACTCCTCCAACCTCCCCAAGGCTCTCAACACAAGGTTCCAGGTGGAGTCCCAGTCTGGAATACATCAGGCTACAATATTTCTTCTGGTCACCATCGTTTTCAGCTCTGCTGCAATCCTTGGCCTTTCAACCTTTCCACACACAAACACCTTGTGTTTGTTTCTCCATTATCCACAAGTACCTCTGGTGTCCTGGTCCAACTTCAGGCTGAGTATATTCTGGGCCTGAAATGTCCCCTCACCAGCCTATACCTTTCCCTATACTCCAGGACCCTCTACCCTCTACCTGGCTGTCTGCTTGGCCTCCTCACTCAGAGTCCAGGATATGTTCACACCAAGGGCTCTGCCATTGGCCTCTTGAGATTGACCCCTGTTCCCAGCACTCAGTCTTCTGCCTGATATCCCAAGTGTCCTTTCTGTTTCTCCTCTTGTCCTCCTTGATCTGTTTTCAGTCCAGATAACTGGAGGCAATGAGCTCTGTTTCCTAGATGATTCCAAATCCAGTCAGGTTGATGATGGTTAACCATCGTGCCTCCTCTTCAAAATTCCTTATAGTTCTTGGAGTCCAAGAGAATGGTGCCAGCATTCCAGAAAGGGCTTCATGCTGCTTCATACACAGTAGAGGAGAGGAGGGCACCAGGCATGTGTACAGAAACGAAACACAAGAGCTAACCTTGCTTTGTAACAACCTACTCTCTTGCAAAGGCCAGACAAGAACGCACATTCATTCTTGAGCCCTCCAGGGATTGAAACATGTCTCTCTACCTCATTTCAAACACTGAGGTCCTGAAAAATCCAGCTTCAGCATGAGGTTTGATGGGGAAACCATCTTTACACCATAGCAAAACTTTTGTATTAATATGTGCAATGTATTCTCACTTATATGTACTTTTTACAATCTTTACTTATAATTTACTAGATGTAAGCCAAGCCTCCTGGAAGGTTCTTAGGGAAAATCAAATGCTACTCTTTGTTTCAGTTCTGGAACTGTTACTGAAGGGACACTCTTGCTGAAGTCATGGAAAACTTTGGGCATTTTAATAAATATTAATGTGGAGCATACTTCCTGTTTAACACTTTCTGTTTAATGTGTTTACTATCTTGTTTCCTTCCTTCTTTCCTTCCTCTCTCTCCTCCCTCCCTCCTTTCCTTCCTTTTGTGAGACAAGGTTTCTCTGTGTAGCCTTGGCTGTCCTAGAACTCACTCTGTAGACCAGGTTGGCCTCAAACTCATAGAGATCTGCTTGCCTCTGCCACCACCACCCAACTATTTTTTTTAAAAAAATGTTTTATGTGTGTGTGTGTGTGTGTGTGTGTGTGTTTTGCTTGTCTATATGTCTGTACACCATGTTCATGCATACAGTGCTCAAAGAGGCCATAAGAGAGCATCAGATCCCATGGAACGAAGTTACAGATGGTTGTGAGCTGCCATGTGGGTGTTGAGAATTGAATTTGGGTCCTTTGGAAGAGCAGCCAGTGCTCTTAACCACTGAGCCATCTCTCTCCAGTCACCTCTCACCTAAACTCTTGTACAAGCTCCATTAACTTCTCCCTTTCTTCTGGTTGCTTACCCCAGAGCTATTCAACTGCCTATTCTTTTCCTGTTAGTCCTGCCCTGCAGGATCTTTTTATGCTCATTCCCACTTGTGCAGTGTAGGCTCTGCTCTGATCTTTTTCTACTCACAGCCAACTTTCCCATGGGCTAGCCTTGTAGGCTGAGTAGCCAGGTCTGAAGGTTAGGCACATAGGCCTTGCTGGGCTTCCTGTCTACTCACTCTCAGTCACAAGTAAGGGCCTTGTGCTCCTGGGGTCTCATCTTGGTGGGTCCCTCTGCCCAGGAAGCCCTATCCTGCTTCCAGGCATCTGCTGCTCCTCAAAGTCAGACTCTTCCTTACTGCTTAGCTACCTGGCTTGCCTGTGGAGCCCATGTTGTCCTCCCCTTTGTTCCTAGCCCGAGGTGGATTCCCTGAGTATCTAAGCATATTCTGTTCTTGCCAGGCAGGGAGCTTCTGAGCACAGGGAAAGCCAAGGTGGTATCCAGGGACTGAGCCCACCTGAGTCCACCCACAAAACTCAGCCCCAGATCAATGTGTCAGTGGCTTTATGCTTGCTCCAAAGGGTTGGTAACTGATTATGGAGGGAGACAGAGACCACAGGCTAGACCTCCAGAGCTGCCTGGTACCCAGGCCAGGGGACTTCACAGCTTAGTAAATCCCTTTACTCCTGTCCCTTCTCCAAGGCCCAGCCAAGTTGGCCTGGGTGAACCCAGGCTACTGCAGCTGGATCCACACTCTGGTCTACAGAGCTAGCTAGTTCCAAAACAATACAAAGAAAACCTGTCTCAGGGGGGGAAAAAAAGCCATACACTTAGGGTATGCATTCTGCCCACCACAGGCCCTGCCCTGAAGCCTCTGTCAGCCTCTGCCTAGTGGTCTAGGGGTTGTGTAATTTTCTGGCAGGTGGCATCTCCAGCTTTGACCCGACAGTCTGTATATTACAGCAAGTTTCTGACAGCTGGAGATGAAAGTGTGTTGTTCAAACTGGGTCAGTACCGAGGGGCCCAATCCATGTTGGCTTCAGAGGGACTTTGGAAGAACCTGAAAGGACCAACATCTGAATCAGGAGATATTTCTGTGCCTGAGGTGGAGATCAGCTTCCTGGGTATGTCCGCTCCATCCACTGCTGCCAACTTTCTGAGCAGCATCAGAGTGCTAGGCTTCTCATGGGAAGGCACACAGATGGTCATGACTTTGTGATTTTCCAAGTGGCAAGCAGGACTCACTTACCATTAATCTATTGGTTGCTAGAAGGAGAAGTGCCTCAAACTAATTATGAGAAATAAAACTCAGTTTTCTGTAATGGTCATCAAAGCGTAAGGACACTGACTCCTCTCTGCCTCACAGGAAAGAAAGGGCCCTTCTTCTATCAAGGGCCTGAGTGACTTAGCAGCCCAGGGAGCACGCTGGATGTTCCAACTGGGTAGGGGAGAGGGGCAAGGATAGTGGGAGGGACAAAGAGACTGTTCAAAAAGCACCAGGGAGGCAGTATGGCTAGAGGAGCATCGGTGAGGGTGGGTGGGAGAAGAGGGAGGGCACAGGGGAGCCGAGAGGCTCTGCAGGGAGGATAACTTCTGTGGGGAGGGCAGGAAAGAGTGACAGCGCTCGCTCTGACCGAGGCCAGTGAATAGGATGAGGGCCACACCAGGGCTGAGGTGGGGTGTGGGGACCGGTGCCTCAGGCAGGGACACAGTTCGTGGTGACTGAGCTTGGGCTGCTGAGATGAGCTGTTTGTGGGTTTGTGGGTGCTCGTGGGAACGAAGAGGACATACGCCCTCTAGACCATGCTACTTAGACACATGTGCTGCTTACCATTGGGCACCAGAGTCTAGGGCCGGGGAGAGAGGTCTGCGGTGGGTGGAGGAACTGGACCTATTAGCAGGTTGGGGGACTTCTGAGTATCTTGAGGAGGAGAAGCCAGAGGCAGGGAGGGAAGGAAACTCAAGGCAGGTAGCGCCCAGAGAGTCAATCAAAAGTTGCAGCACTGGTGTATAGGATGACAACCTGGGCAGAGTCTGGAGCTGCCAATAGACAGGGTGGCAAGTCTGCTTGGCAGAGGGGTGTGCTTTGGAGATTTAACCATCCAAAATTCATCTGGAAGTGCAGCTGCCATGTGACAGGCTCAGGCTGAGCATTCCAGGGACACACTCTGCCTGTCTGCCTCTCTCTCACCTTCTGCAGTGGGATACACTGCTGCTTCTATCTTGAATGACTCACCTCCCAGAACCTTGAGAGCTACATTCTGTAAAAATTTTCCCAGCCTCAGGCATGCTGTGGCAGTGCTTGAAGACTCAAGTGGGGCCCAGGGGAGGGGACAAGCACTAGGCAGAGGCACTTAGTAGGGCCCAAGGCACTTAGTAGGGCCCAGACTCTACCAAAGTCCTCATCAGCTAAGCACAATCCACCATGAGCTGGGCCCACAGACGAGTCCCTGCCTCCCTCATTGATGCTGTCCACACCTTCGCAGCTTTTCCTATGTGGGAACTGAGGCTGCCTCTCATAATGCAAGATGGGAGTTGTGTAGCTCTAGTTAGGACCAAGTCTGGTGTGCAATCTGGATGCTGAGCACCTCTCATGGCAAAGGGGTAGGGTGCCTAGGGAAGGCCCACCAGCCCTCTGATAAGAGTACCTTGCCTCATACTTCTCCCCACAGGAAGGAATGGATTTCATGGTGTTCTCTGGTAAGTGAAATGCCAGGTCACTGATGTGGTCTCCCAGGAACCCCAGTGGCTACCCCAATCCTACCTGCTGTAAGGAGGTAGAAGCTGTGTCCAGGAACTGCTCAGGGCTGTCCTTCTCAGGCTTAAATTTATCAAGTTGTTCTATTACAATCTCAATGCATTTTCCATAGTAGGCCATCTTTTAAGCAGAGTCCTAAAACAAACAAACAACAGTCACATTATCCACAACCTCTGAGTTCCAGTTTGGCTGTTGGCTGAAATGAATGCAGGACCCTTACCCATATCAACAGGAAGTCTTCAAGGGTTCTGAGTTGAATAGCGAGGATTTGGGAGGTAGGGTTAGTTCATCTCAGACCTCTTGCCACCCAAGTGATCTGTGGCCTTGGTAAGCCCAGTTCAGGTCACCACTTAACCCTAGCCTCCGCCTTCTCTGCCCTAACCCAGGGTTTCAAGGCAGTCACCAGAGCCCCACAGCCATGCTGTGGGTGGAGTGACCCACAGGAAGGGCTCGGGTCACAAAGCAGGTCTCTGAACACCCTTAGCCAAGCTGGGAGGGCGTCTAGTTTCTCAGCGGGCTCTGCCCAGAGCCGGTTGGTTAGGAAGACAGTATCACAGAAGGCTGTGGAGTTCCCCGGGCTGTGTCATGTGAATGGCAGGACCCATGCTCACAATACAATAAATGGAAATCAATTAAAATGAAAAAGCACATGACGGAGAAAGACTGAGCACTAGCAAGCATTCACCCCTTTGTGCTACTAACTGTGGATCTGATATGCTCAGCTACTTCAGGCTCCTGCCACCTTCACCTCCCCACATGACTGTGAGACGAAATAAACACTTGCTCCCTGAAGTTGCTTTTGTTAGTATTTTTCTCCTTCCTCCCTCCCTCCCTCCCTCCCTCCCTCCCTCCCTCCCTCCCTCCCTTTCTTCTTTCCTCCTTTCCTCCCCCTCCGTCCCCCTCTCTTTTTGAGACAGGGTTTCACTTTGTAGTCCTGGCCACCCTGAAACTTATTCAGTAGACCAGGCTGGCCTTGAACTCAGAGATCTGCCTGCCTCTGCCTCCCAAGTGCTGGGGTTAAAGGGCGGCACCACCATGCCCAACTGCTTTTGTTAGTATTTCATCATAGTAACAGGAAAAGAAACCAAGGTCCTCAGTGTGACGGCCAGTCCTGGCTAGTCATGCCAAGCCCAGAAGCTGGTTTTTAAAAATTAGGGAGCTATTCTAAGTGGTCAAAATACCAATGAATAAGAATTTAAGAAAGACAGAAGAAAGAAAACAGCGACATGCTTAGAATGGAAGGGTGTGGCTTTCCAGAAGGGAGAGAACTCTGAGGGTTCTGCAGAACTCATAAAATTGGAGTAGGATACCCCAATGCTTCCAGAGGGTCTCCTGTCAAAGGTGCTGACCCCTGAGCAAGTCCAGAGGGGAAGAGGCATGGGCCTGGGAAGCTGAGGTTGAACCCAAAGGAATGCAGTTGTAGAGGAGATGCAGATGGCTCTAGGGTAACAATTAGTGGGTGGCAAGAGGAGGAAATCAGAGGGAGAGAGTGAGGTTCCCCGCTCTTTGGGAAAAGCCTCTTGTGATGCCCCCTGGGAAGCTTTACTGAGTAGTTAGGGGAAAGGCTGGACTGACTGTTTCACTGAGGGCCAGAGTCCCCATGCACTCTGGCTGCATTCTGGGCCAGTGCTACCACAGCTGGGGCCTGACAGGACCGCGGACACAAAGATAGCACAGGTCTCTCTGAGAATGACCTCATGGAGTCTGGAAACTGCTCTGAGCCCTGGGACCACGAACAGGCTCTAGGGACTCAATAAGGAGGCTCCATGGACACTGAGGGGAGGCAGAGCCAGGACACCATCCCTGTTCAGCCACAATGACAGTCACCAGGGCAACCTTTTCTCAAGCCTAGAAACCCACAGGGCCAACTCATGGTAGATTCCTCATGGGTCAATCAGGTCTTGATGAGGGACAGGAGGAGACGGTAACCTTCTGTAGATTCAATTACACACAGATTTACACCTGCCAAGATGCAACCAGCTAAGGTGTTGGGTATGGTGAGAGGTCTGGGGCTGACCTGCACCCTCTGAAGCCTGCCTCCCTGGAGATTGCCCACTAAAGCCACTCCACCCTATAAGGAGCATCTATTGTTGGAAGGCTGAATGGTAGGAGAAAGGCTCTGAGGGCTCCCAGGGTCTTCTCTGTCTCCAGTTACTCAACCTACTTCTAGTGAGCTCCTTGGTGAGAGACTTGAGTGCTGAGAGGAGGCTGAGCCATTGCTTCTGGGAACCACTGTCCACTCTGCTTCCCGTTCCATTGTGCATGCTAAATGAGCAGTAGATGGGCTTCATGCCCAGTGGCCATTTCACCCTCTCTCTGAATATGGTTTCCTCTCTTTGGGAGGGACAGAACGAGCCAGACACTTAGCTCTGCCCACATGGGCAGACTTAAGCAATTGTCACATAAGGGGCCAGAAGGCACTTTTCTGAGACATTGCTTCATAGGATGGGAGACCTGTGGCTTCCCTTCTGGCTTTGCTGGGGGTGCTCTATGCTAAGTAAGGCTGAGGACTTGGTGTTATTCCAGAGGCTGAAATGAGAGCCACACCCCCCCCCCCAGGCCATACCTGCTGGGCAGTGCCCTGGAGGTCTTTTCCTGTCCTGTTTCTACCCCTTGACTGGATAGTCCTGTAAACCATGATGTCATTGGCCATGCAGGACCTTTGCCCTCTTTCTCTGGAACAGCTCTTGGGGGCCTTTTGTTCCACTCTGGATATCTCCTAAGTGGAAAACAATCTCAGACACTCCAGGAATCTTGGCTAAAGGCAGCTCTGTGGGTGTGGGGGAGGTTCTTTCTCCCTGTGTGCGTGTTCAACTCCTAGTTATTAGCGTCTTAGTGACAAACAGCGGCACTATCAGGTAGCTCTGGAGAGAACATTAGTTCTGAAAAATATATCCATCTCTACAGGTTTCAGTATGTGCCTCAGCAAAACCTAGTTTTTTTTCAGCCAAGTGCAACTAGTAGACAAAAGACATGTGTGTACTAGATTCACAGACAAAAGACATGTGTGTACTAGATTCACAGACAAAAGACATGTGTGTACTAGATTCACAGACAAAAGACATGTGTGTACTAGATTCACAGACAAAAGACATGTGTGTACTAGATTCACAGCAAGTGTGTACTCTCACTATCCATTCACCCTACAGGGTCAGAAGCCATGCTACTGGGGTGGCAGAGTTTGCGACTCCTCTAAGTGGCCATTGTGTTCATGGGATCCTTTCCCCCAGCCTCACATCTGAGACAGAGGATGTGTCAGGTGAAACCTTAAATGCATTCACTTGGTCTTCCAGCCTGACCCCTCCCAATATACCAAGACTGAGCTCATGTTCCTGAGAGTGGGGTGGTCTTTGGCCTGGCTGCTGTGGGAAGAGTGGAGAGGTGAGCTCTCAGGAGTCTATTCCCGGGTCCTCAGTTGCTGTCAGGTCCCGAGCAAGCGGCCTGCTCAGCATATCAAAGTCACAGTCTAGGGCCCCTCCCCCTCCACTCGGCTGCTCCCATAAGTTAGGTGATCTCCCTAAATATGAGTTACATGCTTACACACTGAGGGCTGCCTTCTTTGACTGAGATTCCTTTCTGGAAACCTTCTCTGATAGCATGGTGAGCAGGGCCCCGTCCCTCACTTGAACCTGGCCTAGGCTGAAAGTGATCTGTGAACAATGAATGGAAAAATATAAAATGGTATAAGTATACTAAAACAGGCTCCTCATGTAATCTGAAAGACATAGGTGGCTAGGATAAAACCAACTGAAAGATCACACTGATTGAACCCAGGGCCTCCATCATGCAGGCCTTCAGCCATTGAGCTTCATGCAGAGAGATACAGGCTCCACAGCAGGGGATCAGGAAAGCCCTCACTGACTTTTAAAAACAGAACACCTTTTATTCTTTTAGTTTCACACATGTAGACCATGTGTTTTCAACATATCCATTTCCACACAGTGACTTTGTAGGTCATCTGTGTTTCTAAACCTATACTCACATGGGTCCTTTATGCAATAAACTTCAGTTTTATTGTCTCATTTAATTGGGAGATAGATGCCATGGTGGTATTTTCTAAAGAAATAAGAACAACTGAGAAGTCTGGGGTGAGGAATCTGGTCCCCTAACTCCAAAGATATTTTCTTTCTGTGTGAGTCTGAAGCCTGGCCTTCAAAGCCTCACTTGATTCCCAGTGAAGATGTGAAATAAAGTAGGACAAGCCCAGGACTCAGCAAAGAATATAGGCAGGAAAAGAGTTTGTAAATATTCGGTGTTGCTGGCGGTGGTTGTGCACACCTTTGATCCCAGCACTTGGAAGGCTGGGGCAGGCAGATCTCTGTGAGTTCGAAGTCAGCCTGGTCTATAGTGCGTGTTCCAGGACAGCTAGGGCTACACAGAGAAACCCTGTCTCAAAAACAAAACAAAACAAAACAAAACAAAACAAAACAAAATACTTGGTGTTAAAATTTCTAGGGGTGGGGCTCAGCCAGACAGCATAGCCTAAAACACACCATGCCTTGGATTCCACCCTCAGCACTGAGGAAAACAAAACAAAACACAAACCAAATTGCCTGGAAACAATGCTGAAGAGTGACTTTTCTTTCTCTCACGTGTTCAAGGTGCAGTCCTTGTTGGCAGGGGAGTGAAGGCCTCGAGTTTGACAAATGGCCACACTGATGAACGATTAGGAAAACAGAGGAGTGGATGCCTCTTATTACTCAGCTCACCTCCTCCATTTTATTCAGTCCAGGATCCTCTGCCCATGGAATGGTCCTGGTCCGGCCAAGATGGGTGGTTCTTTCTACATTTGTTAAGGTAGTCAAGATAACCCACTCACCTACCCACCCACCCAGTCAGACATGTCTAGTGATCTCAGGTGGCCTGCATCTTGTCAACTACACTAACTACCATTAGATACTCTGATTTTCCTTTGTCACTGAGTTTCCAATCTGAGGGCTGAGGTCCGGGCTGAACTTACATGGACGGGCTGCCCAGTGTGCTAGGAACAAGGGCTGCTTTCTGCTCCCTACTGTGGAGCCTGTATCTCTGCAGAAAAGGTGGGTCAAATGCCCTTGACTGGCCTGAGTCAAGCAGGATCTAAGGAATCAATTTAAAACTCTCCCAAATCCAGAGTGGACCTTGGTGGAAGGACACAGAAGGAATGAATGAAAGAATCAAGCTGGAGGCGGGGAGGAAGATCTGGGAGCCTCGCCTGCCTCTACCTATCCAGCCTGAACCCTCTGCTCACTGTGGGTGTGGGGTGGAGGGTGCCTTGCACAGGAGGGTGGATTCGCACACCCACCCGTGGCAAAGCAGGTGTCTTGTGAGCTCGGGTGGATATGAGGGAAAGGATTTGTGGATTCTGAATCCCCTTTGAAATTCACCTAAAACTCGGTCAAAACAATCACGTCCGTGGGTAGGAACCAGGCACAGGCTCAGCTTTATTTATTTCTGATTCATTTTTAGTTTTATTCGTTTTCTTCTTTACTTTTGTGCTGGGAAAGGTGGTCTTGATTTGTAGCAGAGGCTAGCTTCACACTCTCCATTCTCCTCTCTCTGCTTCCTCAGTGCTGGGATAACGTGCCTACATGTACACACCCAGGTTCAGCTTTATTTTAAAAGTTTGTTTGTTCCCTCTGAGTGCCAAGGAGGAACTCAGCACCACTCATGCACTAGCTGGTTAGTTGGCTACTAAGTTGCATGCCCAGTGCCTCAGCAATTACTTCCTAAGAGGATTGATTTCCTGTATATATGGCCCTTTAACTCTCTTTTCTCATCAGGGCTCAGGTCTGTCACTTGAGGAGACCTGAAAGGCAGATGGAAGCAAAGTGAAGTAAAGTAAATGAGGAGGGTTCATTTCTATCAGATACAAAGGAGCTCAACAGCCTCAGCCATGAGATCCCAAATGTATGTCAATGAAAATATTTCTTTCTCATGACTAAAGCCACTCTGCTAAGTGTGGCTACCAAACTATTCTCCGTGTCTTTCTTTTTCTTCCTGAGCAGCAAATCCTGATTCTTCCTTGGGCCTATTGCTGCCCAACCAGATGATGACATTTTCCCAGACTCCCTGGAAGCTGGCTATAACCATGTGTACATGATATTTTATTTCTGAGAAGTACTAGAGAATAAATTTTGGGAGTGTTGGACAAAGTGGAGGTGCAGTCCTTTCTTACTTTCCAGTAGGTTTGCGGGACCAGGAGGTGATAACAAGAACCAGTACAGTCATCCTGAATCCTGAGGGAACAGGTTAAGGATGGTAGCCAGAAAATCTGGTTACCCCTGTACCAGAGCACACAATTGTGGACATGTTGATTCTAAGGTGATGTTAGTTGGGCAAAAAGGTCTAAAAGCCAGCATTTAGGCTGGAGCCAGGAGGGGAAAGGGCTGTTTATAAAAACCACGTGGCTGCCTGGAATCATACAGGAATGGGTAGAAGAGAAGCTTATAAGGAATAAGTGATGGGCAACAAGGCTGAACAGGTCCAGAGCTGAGGGGCTGAGTGAAGATTCAGGAGCTGCTGGGGTAGGATAGAGTCACCTAGGGCTAACAGAGATAAGAGCTGAGGCCCATCATCATTGGATTTAGCAGCTCCGAGATCATGGGGTACTTTGGTAAACTGCTTCAGAGGAGTGGCTGGGAGTGTATTCAAGAAAGAACTGGAGACAGGAGGAACTGAAGACAGGAGGCACCTCCAGAGGAGTTTGCTTTTTAGGGCAGGAGAGATTGGGTGGCAGGTAGAGGGAAGCAGGGGAAAATCAGAAACCACAGCCCAGGGCTGGAGGGGTGAACTCCCGTTGAATTTTATAAAATGAAGAGGTCAGGGAATTCAGGGAGGAATAGGAATTATGTGCTGGGCCAGGAGTAAGTCCTACTCATTTCATCATCTCATTTCAGACCAGCAGGCGAGGTGGCTCTGGGTGAGGGTGAGGGGGAAGAAAAAAATGTTGGGGGTAGGTGCACCCAGGGACACTTGGAATTTACTGCCTATGGCTAATGCTTTTCGGCCGTGCGTGGGATCACATATTCTCAGCTGAATCCTTGGCACATGATAAATTTTCAGATTTTTGGCTAGGTTTGTGTTTTATGTTTACAGATTCCAATTAAGGCATTCCTAGGGAGGTAGCGAATCACGGGAAAAGTTATCTTAAAAAAATCTATTGGATTCTTTTCTGGCCATTAAAGGTGAGGTCGTGGAAAGCACCCTACCTTAGTCTGGGAGGTTGGAAGAAGAGAGCAAAGATAGCTTGCTAAAGCCATAAAATAGCAAAGATTTGAGAACTGGAGAAAACGTGAGAAGACGTGAGGATGGGCTGCTGGCTCCCCACAGAGGCTTCTCACCCTCACCTGCTCGCCTACCTGCGGGCCGCCTGGCTCCACAGGCCTCCACCTGCCCCCGTGTGGTCTCTCCTGGCGCCGCGGGCTGGAGCCCTCACCTTCCAGCGCCCGCACCCGCAGCTCGCCTGAGCGTCGTTTAGGCGCCGTCGCCTAGCAACGCCACGCAGGCGCTGCCCGCGGTGGGCGCCGGGACCTGTAGTTCGAAGCCTCCCTCCTTGGGTGCGCGTCCCGGGCAGGGTGCGGCGTGGTGCTGGGCGCGGATTGGCAGCCTCACCCGGCCCGCCCCACCCTCCACTCGCGGCGGGCCGGGGGCTTGCGGTGCCTACGGCGCATGTGCAGCCGTGACCGGCGGAGGCGCGGGGTGCCA